ATATATATATATATAGGTTAGGACTTTATGATGAACTTTGATATTTTAATGAGGATTTAAAAATTGGATGAAAGAGAATGTTAAATTTGTAAATATCAATGTTTCTGTAAAGAGACTTTTAGCATGTAGCTGTATAAACACATAAGAATTGTGTGGTATGTATGCAAATTTGTCCAATAAAAAACAAGTACTAGGTTCCTGTTACACGTGTCATCATAAGGTCATCTGCGGACTCCAGTGTTGACTCTCCAAAATTGAATTAAACGCGACCACCGTCCAGGTCCGGAACCTGGAGTCGAACTTTCGTTCTCACTCGGCTTCTTCAGCTCTTCCAGCTCCTCAAATACCTCACCGCCACCGCTCCAGCGCCTCCAGTCTCCACATTACAAGCTCAGCACCACACTACCATGAACCCCTGCCCCGACGACATCCCCTCCTCCATCCTCATGAATGACCCTTTTGATCCCCACTCCTTTCCATGTCCTGTCCCCTCCTCCAATGTCTCCTCCGGCAACTCCACCATCACCTTCACCTCGCCGCAGGACGCTTCATCGTCGCCTTCAGGCTCTGATCGAATCCCACTCCAACGCCTGGATCTACGCCATCCTCTGGCGTTCCTCTTCAAATGCCATTCTTTCGTGGGCCGATGGCTTCTATAAGGGCTCTCTTGTTCCCCCCATCAAACGCCGGCAAAGCCGCAACTTTTCTCCGGCGCAAGAGCATCGCAAGAGCGTGCTTCGCGTCTCAACTTCGGCCATTGACGAGGAGGTGACTGACACAGAGTGGTTCTTCCTCATCTCCATGACCCATTCCCTGGTAGCTCCCACTTTCCTCCCGATCCAGGCTCAAATGTCCGGCGAAACAATCTGGATTTCGGGATATAATCGATTGATTGACACGCAATGTGATCGCGCGCACCAGGCGGCTGCGCTTGGGATTCGCACAATGGCTTGCATTCCCGTCGCGGGTGGCGTGCTGGAACTGGGTTCCACAAATGAAGTATTTGAGAACCTCGAAACCATTAGCAGAGTTAGGGATTCTTTTGGCTTTCACATCGCAATTTCGAATCCCCAATTCTATACTGAGGACCCAATTTCGTGCGGTGTTTCCACCTCTATTCTCAAAGCCGGTGGATCGGAGAACTCCGACCGACCTAGAAAGCGCTGCCGAAAGACGGTGAAGGGTCCTGAGGTGCCTCTCGATCACGTAGAAGCAGAGCGGCAGCGGAGAGAGAAGCTTAATCAGCTGTTCTACAGACTTCGAGCTCTGGTGCCTAATGTGTCCAAAATGGATAAAGCCTCCCTGCTCAGCGACGCCATCGAGTACATCACGGAGCTCCGGAAGAAGATTGGGTCCCTCGAATCCTGTAATGAATCCCTTCGTTCTCAGGTGGATGCTCTGAAGAGCAATGCCGATCGCGTGCGACGGGGGTTTTGTGGAACAGAAGAAAAATTGGAGGGGGTTGAAATGGAGGTGAAGGTGATTGAGATGGAGGCGATGATCAGAGTGCAGAGCAAGAGGAAAGGTTACCCTCCGGCCAGATTCATGGCGGCGCTCGATGCGGTAGGGCTCGAGCTGCTTTATGGGAGCCTGTCGGTGGTGAAGGATCTCATGGTGCAGCAGGTTACGGTGAGGATGGCCGATTGTAGCTCTCAGGAGAAACTCTGTAAGGAGATCTTTGCAAGACTTGGCGGCGATGCGGCGGCGGCGGCGGCGCCGGCGAACACAAGAATTTAAAAAATATATAATATTTTTAAAATATTATAGTGGTATTATTGGAGTAAGACTGCAATATTAAAAAAAGTTAAGTAGTATATATAAATATTTAATATATAATTATGTGATAATCCATATAATTTGATTTAAGTTAAATAGGTTTTAGTAAATTTGATTAATTTAGATTTATCAAATCAAAATAATGTTAAATCTGAAATAATGTTTGGTTTGATTACGATTAAATCCAATTAAATCAATTTGATGTGCTTGACATAAATCTCTTTGAAGTATTTTTTTTTTTTCAAAAAATCCATTAAATCTGACAAATAAAAAAATCCATTAAATCCGACAAATAGTTGGATTTAATAAATTCGGATTTAAGTGACGGAGTAAACCGAATAGCAAAAAAAATGTATTCAACATTTCGTCAGATTTAACGAACTTAGAAAAGATGTTTGGCTGGATTTACTTTATCTATTGTCCCTTACGTAAATTCTATAAATAATAGCCTACCAAACACCCCCTTAGTTTGGAAAAAATATGTCGTCCAGACGTCCACACTTCTGGACGGCCAACCACCGACAGGCACGTCGCCCGTCAATGACTTGTATGGCGATATGGCTACCGGTGATTGGTCGTCCGTACGTGCGGAGTCCGGACGAGAGGTTTTCATTCTTTTTCTTATATAAAAAAATTACGATTAAAAAATGATTCTAGAAATTCAAAATAAAGTAGACTGTTAAATATTGAGAATCTTATCCTTTTGATAGGAAAAACAAAAATCCATTTCATTGTCAGCACATTAAACATGTGATCTTTACGATTGATGTTAATTGTTCGCCCCACCTAGCATAATAACTCCTAAGGAAATGTTTTTTAGGGCATTTAATTACATACATACCAATCAATTCCTATGGATTTACATATCTAACATTATCTTATTTCCTTATATGCTTATCACCCAAATCTTTTATGTATTTGTAAAAATTGAAGCATTCGTGTTAGATATGTGAATACATATGAATTGAGCTGTATACATGCATGTAAATCTTCCTCTTTTGTGAATTTAACCCCTAAATTTAAACACTTCATATTATATGTGCTTGAACCGTGAGGAGTATTCGTATTAAGTCGTCGGTCATGATATAATCATGTTATAATGTCTCGGGTTTTATTTTATATCGAAACCATGCATGAAAGGTTATTATGATCAAAGGTGTATTATGTGGTGCAATATCATCATAATATTATTAAATACCATCAAGTATTATCAATTCAAATGTACGGATTCCATACATAATATTCGCAATTTGTTCTTTCTTTTTTTTTATTTATTTAGGAAGATTTATATATGTACCACTCAAATTGTATGTATTCTATTAAAAATTCAATTTTTATATAGATGCAACTTAACATATACATGAAAAGATGTATTTTTTTTAAGAAATAAAATGGTGATATTTTTGGTGTGATAAAGAGAAAATTTTGTAGTATAAATATTACAAATAAAAGTGGAGGTTAGATATGTAAACACATGAATTAGGCCGCATGCATGATGCACCTTATTTTTTATTTAATATTAGTGATATTTTTATTGTAACATTAAAAATGTAAGTATTATATATAAATAATTAATTTTATCTATAATGGGATGAGAATTATGAGATATGTATCATCCAACTTAATTTTCATACACAACACTCAATTCTTATGATTTTATATATCTCACCCAGAAATTTTTATTTTTATAAATCAAGCGTCTAACTTATCTTTATCATCATTTTCCAATAGTAAAATTTATATTTTTATCCATCGATAGAATGTTTATTTTATAAAAATGAGAGTTTATGATGTTTATGAGGTATGTAGTGCAATTATCCCTTGTATGGGCAATTACATATTGATCCACCTTAACTTGTTATTTAGAAATCAATCCTTCTCTTTAATTAATTTTTCAAATTCTCACACAAATATCAAAATTTAAGGTACAATTTCAACCCATATTTTTTTTTTTTTTGTCAAATTCTCAATAATTTGATTGTGGCAGCTTTAAATAAAATTGTTAGTAATTTAAATAAATCACCTTGGTGGTTTAAATTGTAAATATCAATGTTTCGGAGGATCTCTAGATAATTATTCCATTGTATTATTGTGTTAGAAGACATAAGTTCTATACGTTGGAAGTATGCTTCAAAAGGTTTAAAATATTGCATAATATTTTAATAAAATTTAATTTAACTTTGTGATTTTGCACAACTTATTGTCTAAAAATATGAATAATTATTTTGAAAATAAGATAATATAATTTTTTTTTAAATAAGGATAAGAATTTTTTTTCTTAATTTTAAATGATAAAGAATATAGAAATAATAATGATACGTGACAGAGAGTTATTTATAAAATAATATGCTATTTTAATTTAAATAATTAGAAGATTGAATAAAATATAATTATATATTCTTATAGCGATTAATTTAATCAAAATAATTAGGAATTTTATAATTAAAAATTATCCCTTTTAGTATGCATTTTCTCATCATGGATAGGTTGATTGAGCATATGAGGTACCATATTATATGAGTCTAACTTTAGTTTGATTCAATTAAAAAGAGCTTCGAGCGAAGTTAGCGGGTGTATTTTTGTTGGCTTTATAAGTTTATAACAATTGGGTTGAGCGATTGAGGGCACAAATTCTATTGGATAGTTCTTCAAAGGAGAAAATATTATGTGTGTAACATGCACCTGCAGCCAACTAATAGAATGAGAGAGAAGGGACGTAGAGAGAGTGTCCCTCCTCTTTTTCTTCTTCTATTGTCTTACCGTAGGTTCATGCAACACACTTAATTTTTTCTTCGTTCATAGAGCTTGAGGATAAGAGCTCATCAAGATTCACTAGTGTCAATTAATTTCAAGGCAATTTGAAATGTATTAATTCCAATTCATCAATCACAAATACTTTTAATAATTTTATTTGTTTGTGTAATTTGTAATTTGTCATATTTCCTCTAAGAAGAGCTAAATATGTAAGTATATGATACCATAGAATAATATATTTACATATGTTTGCAATATTAAAAGGTTTTGTATCAAATAATGCATAATATATGCTAGTAATTGATTGCCTTTGCATTACATATCACTTGCATAATCCTATTTTTGGCCTCAAATATTTTGAATAATAGTATTATGATGTGAAAAAGAAATTATTACCTTAATTTTTCAAAGCCTTTTCAATAGTGTAATGCAAATGAAATATATATATAGCTTCTTTATAGATCCCTCTTTATGATCAAATGGTTTTTTTTTTATAATTATTATGATTAAAAAAAATTATAAATATTCAAAAGTAAAGTAGATTGTTAAATATTGAGAATCATATCCTTCTTATAAGAAAAATTAAAATTCATTTCATTGTCTTCACACTAAACATATGACCTAATTGATTGATTGATGCTTAATCATTTGCCTACATTTTGCAAAGTAGTAGCACTAAGGTCATGTTTATTTTAGGGCATTTACAAATATACCAATCAGCTTTTATGAATTTATATGTCTAACACAATTCATGCCGCCCAAATATCTTATTTGTTATATGCATATGATCTGGATTTTTCATATATCACATCAAAAATATCACAATTTTACATTTAAATTTTTTCATGAACAGATAAAATGACATATTTGAAAAAATTGAAGTCTAATAGATATGTAAATACATAAGAGTTGAATGGTATGCATGTATGTAAATCTGTCTCTTTTTGTGAATTTATTTTTAAATTCAAACATTTGAAATGTATTTTAGGTCTTAATTTTAGAAATTCATAGTTGAAAATCTGAATGTTTATGCCATGAATATTTGTCATATTACATATGTATGAGTAAGTGATAAATATTCATATTATGTCATCTGTCATGATATAATCATGTTACGCTATCAATGTTTATTTTATGTTGAAATAATGCATGAAAGGGTATTATGGTCACTATGAAATTATTTTGGCTAAAAAAATAAATCAGAGTTCTCTTTCATTAATTAAGTGAGTTAGAATCATTCTTTATTTTATTTTCATTTTTTTAATTTTATTTTTTTATTTTTTTAAATAAATTATTTTGTTTTAAATAATAATCAAGATATTTTTAAAATTTTTAACTGATTTTAAAATCACCATTGATGTTGCCTAAACCCTAAACTCATTAGTTAGACATATTTTGATATTCCAAGTTCAATATTTAATAAACAAAAAAAAAGAGAATAGTGAGAAATATTCCATCATAGGAGGCATCATCATCCATTATTGTTATGATGGATGAAGAAATATTAAGTGTGGTGGACTGCACATCCGGACGATGGTCTGGATGCGGCCACTCCGTCGTGTACAATACGACGGCCCTTCCAAACCGTCATCTGGACATGTAGCCGCTGCACATAATATTTGTTTTGATGGATGGGGCTAATAACGGTAGAGAGCAGTGGGCTTCTGATTTTGATAAAAAAAGAGATGCCAATCTTCATAAATCTCAATCTAAAGGAGATTTGACGAAGATCTGTTTAAGCAATTTAAAAAATTAGGCACTAAGAAACTCAATACCTAAAAACAATTTAAAATAACTTCACGAAGTTGCAATATTATCCTAAAACCATAGCTATTCTTCAATCGCCTGCGCCATGCAGTTCGATATTATCTAGCTTTCAAAAAATTATAACACATACGTGATTAATCTAATTTCACTCCCACTAATCTTAAGAGTCCATAGTGAATAACTAGGAAAAAAAAGAAAGCCAAAAAGTCCAATGAACCAAAAGATCAATTGTTGTAGATGTTTAAGAGTAGAGCAAAAATGACTAAGAAAATAGAAAACTTTTAGAAATATAGTAGTTGTCCATAGAATGAAACTTATCATTGAGATCATTAAATATAATTATTCAAAGTCAACAAAGAAGGTGTTTGGATGGTGCAGTAGAAAATAAAAGTGTGGCAGCATCCATATTACTTTAAAACAATAGGAAGATTGTGAGGTAC